TACGGCCACGCGCCTAACCAGTACAATATTTTTGTTCACACTGTACTCCCGCTCAAAATGCTCTAACATGACTTTAGTATCTGCTTGTTCTCTGCTTAAGAGTTAAAATACGAATGACAGCTGCAACTTTTGTCGTTGATACGGTACGTGCAATCTGTGCTATTTTATTGGAAACTGTAGCTTAGGTACGAAATTGTGAGATGGCAGAAATCGTCGGCGTAGACCAATTACTTTCACCAATGAGAAGAGCACATTTATTTCAAATTGCTACTTTTGACCAGCCAGATCTGAAGTAGCATTTCAGAGATACTTCAGTCAAAGTGGCATATATACATAGTAATAAAGGTATAACGACGTAAGATCGCATGGACAATTGAGGAAGTACTATAAGAATAATGAGACTGCACGAACAAAAAGCGAGCGTGCAATGTCCTTACGATAATCGCGATTAATTTCTTTCTGATTTGTTGCAATTTTTAGCAACTGAACTGCAATCGTTGATACGCGCAGGTGTAGTTGGTTACAAGTATCCCTCCCCCCCCTTCTTATGCCTGAGTGTGGTCGACGAATTTCCACGGGACATAGGACACTTGCTTTTGTTCGCGCAGTCTCATTATTCTCATAGCACACCCTCAATTGTCCATTCGATATACTCCACCACATCATGCAATACCTTTAGCGCGACACATATAAATTATTTTGAAACGAATGAAATGTCCATAAAATGCCACTTTAGACCTCCCAGGTCGGAAGTAGTGATTTACCTCTGGAACATATATGCCCTCCCCATTGACGGAAGTAATAGATGCACGCCGACGAATTTGCGTAAAGGCACATTGCTATAGTGGTTTTTGAATTTTCTGCTATCTTGCGATTTCGTGCCTATGCAATTTCCAGCAATATAGCACAGATTGCGCGCGACGCAGCTGTGGCAAAAATTGCATGTATTATTTGTGCTATAATTTTCGAACGAGGAGTAGATGCAAAAGTCATGCCAGCGAATTCTCAGTAGAAGTATGATATCAATAAAATATTGTCTTCCAGCAGTGGCCTGTGGCCGTGTCAGAGAAAACTCTTCATCAGATATCTGAGTCTGATTTCTTGTTTTGCGAATGAAGTATTACATTGTGTTAAAGGTGATACGTGCGTGCACTGGTTAGCAATGTTACTGTTTTAATTTACATAGCTTTATGATTAGCATTTAAAAAGTACTGTTATTTTAAATGTAATTATTGGTATATAATATTTTTTTAAATTGGAATTACAATGTGACACTTGATTATAAGTAGTACGAACAACTGGATCTTCCTTCATAACATTCTTATCACAGTTAATAACTATGTTATGTTAATTAGCATATTTTATAAAGCCATCTTGTTAGATAGGAGTGATTCGTATTTAAAAAACTGTAAAATTAACCAACGTTGACTGGTATTTAAACATAAAATTACCTTAAAATCGATATTGCATTATGTATTTTAAATATCTTAACAGACAAATATTATGCTAAAAATTTTAAATGGAAGGAAAACAAATGATCAATCAAATACTTTACTTGAGTATAGACTTTTTATTTTAACAACTTTTGGTAAACACGGAAAGAATACAGCTTTAATAGCACAAAATAACATTCATGTTAATATATTTAAGTAATAATATTTTGCATAATGTATTATTCAAATTTTTCTGCTTTTCATTTCTTTAACAATTGTAATCGAAAAATTTTTAAGTTGTAAAATAAAACAATTTTTACTAGGTTTGTATTGTTTGCAAAATATTTGCACTCAACAGTAAGTTCCCCATAGGTTTATCACAGATTTTTTCATCTTTAAAAATAAATTGCCCCCTGAGAACAGTCGCGATTACTTTTCCATATAAAATCTTTCCTTGATACGGTGTTAACTGAAAAATTAAATATTCCTAGAAATTCCTTTGAAATTTTTACCACGTTTTTTTATATTCTTAATGTATGACGTATTCACTTACTTTGTTCTTGTGATATATATTTTCTATCTCGATCTAGAAACGAGACATTTTTTTATGATATACTACTAAAGATTATTTTCTCTATTTTTCAATATTTATGCAATAATTCCAACTGACCTTAACGGTGTCGTCTGGATCCCAAATAACGAAATCCGCATCCATACCTTCCAATAAACGGCCTTTGCGGTCTTCGAGACCGCACAATCTCGCCGGCTGGCTGCTTAATAGCTTCGAGACATCGGAAAATGATATATCTCTCGTTCTCGCGGCTGTCCACATCAGCGACAATCCTACATGTAATTAAAGAAAAATCTCTTTTTCTCTCATGTTATTTTTATTTCACATTTTGTATCGTTTGACAAATTAGATTTTGTATATACACGCACCAAATTGCAACGAAGAGATTCCACCCCAAGCAGTCAAAAAATCTCCGCGTGTTTTCAATTCTGGCACACATGGCGAATGATCCGAGACGACCATATCTAACGTTTTGTTTTTAATGCCGTGCCACAATTGTTCCTAAACACACGTATGTATATTTCAAGATATCGTGTTACCACATAAGAATCGCGTTGTCTCATCCAGTACGTTTGACTCTCAAACGTATTGATTCATTGTTAATTCCGATAAATGCACAGCAAACTTTTTTTGGACACTATTTACAATACAATAATTTTTAAATATTAAAGGCAAAAAATATTACGATTGCACTTGAAATCATTAGACGGCAACAAATAACGTGCAACACAAAGTTCCATCTAATTACTCGATTAATTTTCTTCCTAATCGGCGGACAACACTTGAATTCAGTGGATTCTTTTGGTATTTCTTCCGCGGTGAGTATCAGGTAGTGATAGCATGTTTCCACGGTCAAAGGTGCTCCGTGCGCCTTAGCGTGATTTATCAATGCCAAACACTCCGCGCTTGACAAATGCACGATGTGGCACCGAAAGCTTGAAAATTTTATATAACATGAATCTTACATAAATATGGAAACAAACACCAAATCGTCTACTCACTTATACTTCATGCACCAGTCACAAATTAATTTTACGGCGTCTAGTTCCATGAGATCGGGTCGAGATTGTAAAAAAGTGTCGTACAATCTTGCGTCGTCTAAAAATTCGATATGATATGGCTAATAATCGCAATAGACTAACAGTAGAGATAAAAATACTTCTTTTATCTTTACCTACCAGTAGACGCATCCGTCTTCGTATGCTGCCCGTATTCTGCGTGAAACTGCAAGAGTATTTGCGATAAGTTATCGTAGAAGCACGAAGAAATTCGATAAGGATGCAAGAGAAAATGTAACAAGTACAGCTAACACAGTTTTTGTTGACAGTAACTCCATCAAAGTTTTTTCCACGTCGTCCGTAGAGACATGTGGAAATTCGTCGACTCCGCTCGGACATAGAAAGCACTTGAAACCAACTACGCCTGCGCGTATCAACGATAGTAGTTCATGCTAAAAATTGCAACAAATCAAAAAAGAAGTTAATCACGATCGCGGTAAGTATGATATATGTAGGACACTTGTTTTTTTTCTTCGCAGTCTCACCCTCTCAGTTGTCTGTTTGATATACTTCACCACGTCATGCGATACCTTTGGTGTATACAGGGTGATCCACAAAATTGTGAGGAATTTTCACTTAAAGAAACCTACTCATGCAAAAAAAATTCATATTTATATTTATATTAAATGAAGCATTAAATAAAGCATTAAATAAAAACATTTTATATTTATATTAAAAAAGATAAAATTGCACTATTTTAGTGCATTGTTACACTCACGACAAAAAATGACTTCATAGAAAAATTATTCATATTATGCCATTAAACTTTTTCCTCTACTATTTTTTTCTGCCTTCTACAAGTACTAGAGAACTCCAGTGAACCACCCTGTATATGCCACTTTGAATAAAATATTCATGAAATGCCACTTCAGACCTTGCTGATCGAAAGTAGTGATTTACCTCTGAGACATATATTCACTCAGCCCTCTTAAGCTAACAGGATTCAGCAAAATCAGCAAAATCGAATACAACCTAGTGGATTATTTAGTACTTATTTGTACCACTTATTTGTACCACAAAAAATAATTTTATACCTTGTGTTATTTAAGAAAAAATCGTGCTAACTGCTAACTTAACATAAAGATAGCAAGAACAAAAAAAAATAAAATAAAGCAGATATAATTAGTGCTGAATTTGTACCACTCAAAACAAATTGAAATATTTCTATTATTCTATTAAAACAACACCTATTTGCTTCAAGAACAAGAGCAAGAACAACTTTCTCCTCCGATCTCTTAAGAATCATCTAAATCAAAATTAAATTTATGGCATTACTTATTTTTCACCGTGTATCATTTTTGTACCATTTTGTAAAAATAATTTAATCGTTTAAACGTTATACAAATGTTACAAAATTAATCGAATAATTAGAAGAAATTCTGTGTCTGCATATTATGTTTATAAAAATATTTGATTGATTATTTACTTTCTTCCCATACAGCACACAAAGATTGCATACACATTGCATCAATCTTTCATCGCAATGTTGCAATATTGCAAATTCACTGCAAAATGTTGTTGCATCATTGCTGTGGGATTGCAGCAACTTAAAATGCTTTTAGAAAGATTGTAACGAAATATTACAATAATATTGCAATGTAATGAATTTGCAATAATGCATTATTATTGCAATCTTAGAATAATGTTGCATATATTTTTATTTATTCGGACATTTATCTGTTCGATTTTTAAACAATCAGTTCAATATCTGAATTCCCTGTGTTGAGGTCGCATCAGAAAAATAAACTGATAAAAATAATTACTATGTCTTTAATCTTACTAGCCACTCTTTGCAAGTTTCATATAATCATCATAACTAAAACTTAAATACGAGATAGATTTTGCAACGCGCGTCGCATAGCGGTAAACGAACAAACTAGCGATTACCAAATATTGCTATTGCAATGTTATTGGAATGTTGCTGTCACATTCTCATGAAATATTACAATTACAGGTTGCAATAATGTCTCAACAATATCACATTGCAACTTGCAAGATTGTAACATTGCTACAATGTAATTGCAATGTTCTGTGCTGTATGGGTTTGCACTTAAAATTTGTAGCGCCAAATTCGTCTGTTAAAGTACGCAAGTGCAATTGATTTTAATATAATTGTCGTGTTCAATAACGTCGATAAACACCGGATAATTTCACAGTAAATACGAACAGTAATACGAATCACTAGTATCTAATAAGACTGGTTTATAAAATATGCTAATTAATATAACGTAGTAACTTAGTAACTAAGAAATAGTATCTTTGAGTGATAAGAACGTCATGAAGTAAGATAAGGCCTTCCGTACCACCTGTAATCAAGTATATAAATTGTTTTGTATACAATACAAATCAGTTACAAATTTGCGTATTTACCAAACCATAAGTCTTTATTGACAACGGAATCATGTTACCAGCTGTTAAACCACAGGGTGCAGCACTTCTACAAAGAGTTATAATTAACAAAGATTTTAATCTCGGTGAGCAATTGTACCATTCCGCAGCATATCTGGAAGAAAAGTTTGAAACTTAGGGTTTACATAAAATTTTGCTTTAGAAAAAAATTTAAATAATTTTTTATACAGAATTTTAATAAATATATATAAATACTAAGTAAATTCGTCTATATATCTGAATTGAGTTTAATGCTTTCACTTTCTAAAAGATTTTATTGATATCATGCAAAACATTATACAAAAAAAATATGGCACATTAATTATATTTCTGGAAGAAGTTTTAAATCCATTTAATAAATTTCAGAATTTAATTTTGTAGAAATTTATACACAGATTGTAGATTGCTTTTTACTTATTTTGATTAAAAGATTGATATTAATTATTTTGTAGTTAATTTGTAGTTGTAGTTGAATAGAAGTCTACAACACATAATTATACATGCAAAAGTAATTAATAAAAAATTATTCTTACGCTCGGTAGAATACATTCTGACTTTCGTCTCTTAATTTTTGGCCAGAATAACATGAGATCATAAGTTGTGTTAATATGGCTATGATTACAAAGATATATCTTATTACACCTTCTAATTGATCTAATATATTTATGATCTACAATTCATTCGAAGTATTTAAGCTTTTATATAATAATTTATATAATAAATTTTAAATATAATTTGAAATTTAATAAATTTCTATGTAATAATGTAATTATTTGGATTAATAAAATTATATTTGAATACATTAAGATTTCGACGTCTTCGACTTGAAAGATAAATCGACAGCAAGTAAACGAGGAAAAGTGGACAATTTAAAATGTTCTACATAAAAAATAAATTTTTTTCTATAGAAACATTTATTTCCACTTTATATATTATAAATAAACGGGTAACGCTTACTTGCATTCCAAGAAAAGTTATAATTGCTCCGTACAACATTAATAAAAATAATGAAGTGATTTGATACGTTGAATTCAACATATCGACGAATCTGTGAAACAATAATAATATAGATATATATTACTTCTGTACACAGAATTATCGCGCAAACATCATTTAAAAGAACTTCTTACTCTAAAGCAAGCTGATATTTTTTTAAGCATATACTTAATGCATTCCTGATATATCATTCGTTCATTCTCAAATTCTAACTTCGTCTTTATGCAGCATTCGATCTTCCTAGTATCTTTGTTGACATGCAGTTTTGTTATTATCTCTTCTAATTGCCGACTGTGAAATAAGATTTGCAATCAGATATTTCACGAATAAATTAAAGTATCGTACGTATTATGTATACATACCTAATAATTGCGAATAAACTACAAGCGTGAATAGTACAGACAAGAAACGTAGTATCATTAGCAACCATACTGATAATGCTAACCATAATCAAACTCACAATGTAACAATAAAGCTGTGTGTAATATTTCTCCTCATCTATTCTGAATTTTGTAGTCATTGGCAGTAATCGCGGACGTGTTTCGTTAAGCGGACGTATTATATCGAGAAAAACCGGTGCTAGCGGTATTATTATAAAGATTATTGTAATGCAAAACATACTCCCTGTAATTTATTATGTTTTTCTGTATATTATATGTATTTACAGATAATGTAATTAAGTCGATAATTTCTTAACAAAAAATGTATTGTTTCTGTAGTAATATAACATACTCACTGAAGTAATAAATTGTCAATTTTTGCGATATATTAGAATAATCTTTGAGAGTTTGGACTTCCAATTTGCTAGTAAATATATTCCAATGATCATTTATGGCGGTGAACATACGTATAAACTGTTGCAACAAATACAAATTAGTACAATATAAAAAGTAAGATTTTATGAAAATTATAATTGAAAGTCAGTCAACATGAGAAAATAGTACTGTTGTGAGCTTACCATTTGGCGGTTCCAAATCAAGTTAAATGTTTTTCCAACCATAGAGTTTAATGCGGCAAATTGATAGCAAATCTCAAAAACAACTTGCGAATTCTTCCAATAATCGTGCAACATTAATATCTAAATATCACAGTAATAATTATAATCCAAAAAGATTATTTAATAATTATGTTTGGAGTAATAAAACTTTTTAACTGACAATTAAAAAACTATGCAATATTGTTATGTGTACGCACGCATTACCTGGAATGGATAGTAAGCTATTTGGTACACAAAGCAAGTAATCGAAATCAAATTTTTTGAGAGTTTACTTTGGTGCGGCCACACGCCTGAGTAAAGCAAATATATTTTATTGACATTGTATTCCCGCTCAAAATGCTGTAGCATGACTTTAGCATCTGCTTGCTCTCTCTGCTTAAGCGTTGCAGTACGAATGGCGGGTGCAACTTTTTGCAGTTGAGTGCGATACGCGTAATTTGTGCTATTTTATTAGGATTTGCAGCATAAGTACGAAATTGCAAGATGACAGAAATCGTCGACGTGCACCGATTACTTCCATCAATGGGAAGGGCATATTTATTTCAAATGCAAATTGCTACTTTCGATCAGCCAGATCTGAAGTAGCATTTCATGGATATTTCATTCAAAGTGGCATATATACACCGTCGTAAAGGTATCACACAACGGCATAGGGTCGGATGGACAATTGAGAAGGTACTATGAGAATAATGAGACTGCACGAACAAAAAGCGAGCGTGCTATGTCCTGTTCTTACGATAATCGCGATTAACTTCTTTCTGATTTGTTGCAATTTTTAGCAACTGAACTGCGATCGTTGATACGCGCAGGTGTAGTTGATTACAAGTACCCCTTCTTATGCCCGAGTGGGGTCGACGAATTTCCACGGGACATAGAACAATTGCTTTTTGTTCGCGCAGTCTCATTATTCTCATAGTACCCTCTCAATTGTCCATTCGATATACTCCACCACGTCATGCGATACTTTTACCGCGACACATATAAATTATTTTGAAACGAACGAAATATCCATAAAATGCCACTTCAGATCTCGCTGGTCGAAAGTAGCGATTCACCTTTGGAACATACATCCCCTCCCCATTGACGGAAGTGATTGGTGCACGCCGACGATTTTTGCCATCTTACAATTTCGTATCTATGCTAGAACTTCCAGCAAAATAGCTCAGATTACGCGTGTCGCAGCAGCAAAAATTGCATGTGTCATTTGTGCCGCAATTCTTAAAAAGAAAGTAGATTGAAGAGTCATGCTGGTGAATTTCCAGCGGGAGTATAATATACATAAAATATTGTTGTCCAGCAGTGGCCTGTGGCCGTATCAGAGTAAGCTCATAAGTTGCCTGTTTCTGATTCCTTTGTTGGTGAACGCAATATTTTACAATCTGTTGGAGGTAATGCGTGCATACACTGATAAGCAATATTACTATTTTAATTTACATAGCTTTGAGATTAGCATTTAAAAGAACTATTATTTCAAACATAATTATCGGTATATGATGTTTTTTTAATTGTAACTATTATTGTGACACTTAGATTTTAATGTTGTACGATTATTGGGAGGATATGAATATTGCTTTCGATGCTTGCTATCAGATTTTTGCATTAACCAGTATAGCAGGAAGAATATTCAACATGTTTTGGAACCGTGAACAGGTAAGTTTACGAAACAACACTATTTTCTCGACAACTTGCAATTATAATTTTAATAAAATTCTGTTCTTTTATTGCACTAAATTGTTTTCGTACTTGTTACAATGATCAGATAAAACGTATATGCGAAGCCATAGACAATCATTGGAATATATTTACAAGTAAATTGGAAGTTCAAATTCTTAACGATTATTCTATAATGTCGCGGAAATTAACAACAACTTACAGCAGTGAGTATGTCATATTGTTTTTACTACCTAAAAAATATGTGCTCCAATAAATGAATGTCATAGGGTTTGCTTTTTTTTTGGTAAAATATTGACTTATTTACATAACCTGTAAATATAATATATAAAAATACATATTAAATTACAGTGATAGTATACGCCATATTAATATTATTTATATTAACTCCGTTAACACCAGTTTTTCTCGATATGATACATCCACTTAACAAATCGCGATCGCGATTATTTCCATTGACTGCAAAATTTAGAATAGATGATGAGAAATATTACACACAGCTTTATTGTTGGATAGCCAGTATGGTTACGATTATGATATTCGCTATGGTTGCTGTTGACAACTTCTTTCTCGTCAGTATCATTCACGCTTATAGTTTATTCTCAATCATTAGGTACGTAGATAATACGGTATTTTAATCACTTCGTGAAATGTCTTATTGCAAATCTTATTTCACAGTCGGCAATTAGAAGAGATAATAACAAAATTGTATGTCAACAAAGATAGGAAATTCGGATGTTGCATGAATACGAAGTTAGAATTGGAAAATGAGCGAATATACCAGAAATACATTATATCCTTAAAAAAATATCAGCTTGCTTTAGAGTAAAAATTTTTAAAAAATAATTTTTGTGCGATTATCCTGTGTACAGGAGTAATATATATTTATATTATTATTGTTTCATAGATTTGTCGATATGTTGAATTCGGCGTATAAAATAATTTCATTATTCTCATTATTATTGAGCGGAGCAATTTTAATTTTTGCTGGAATACAAGTAAGCGTTACTCATTTATTTATAATAATAAAAAAGAAAATATTTATAATAATGAAAGAAAAAATAAATATTTCTATAGAAAAAAAATTTGTTTTACATGTAAAACATTTTAAATTGTCCACTTTTTCTTATATGCTATCGATTTATCTTTAAAGTCAAAGACTTTAAAATCTTAATGCATTCAAGTATGACACGCTCCATCAATCTTATTTATTCCGTCATTAAATGTAAATTATACAAAAATGCAATATTATATTTAACATAAAGGCTTAAATACTTCGAATGTATTGTAGGTCACAAATGTATTAGAGCAATTAGGAGAGGTAATGAGATACACCTTCGTAATTGTAGGTAATTTAATGCAACTCATGTTGTCATGTTATGCTGGTCAAAAGTTAAGAGACATAAGTCAAATGTATTCTACCGAGCGTAAGAATAATTTTCTATTAATTACTTTTGCATGTATATTTATGTGTAAACTTCTATTAATCAAAATAATTTAAAAACAATCTACGATCTTTATAAGCTTCTATAATATTAAATTCTAAAATTTGTTAAACGGATTTCATCGTGACAGAATTATAATTAATATACTATGTGTTTTGTGTTCTGCATAATATTAATAAAATCTTTTAAAAATCGAAAACATTAAACTCAATTCTGGTATATAAAAGAATTAACTTGCTATTTATATATATTTATTATGCTTCTGTAAAAAATTATTTAAATTTCTTTTTAAAACAAAATTTCATGTAAACTTTAATTTTCAAACTTATTCTTCCAGATATACTGCGAAATGGTACGAATTCCCACCGAAACTAAAATCTTTGTTAATTATTACTCTTTTTAGAAGTGCTACACCGTGTAGTTTGACAGCAGGCAACATGATTCCGTTGTCAATAGAGACTTATGGTTTGGTAAGTACGCGAATTTGCAAGTGATTTGTATTGTATGCAAAACAATTTATATACTTGATTACAGGTAGTGCGGACGGCTGGATCTTACTTCATGACATTCTTATCACTCAAAAAATAGTTATTTCCTGGTCACCAGGGTCACGATGTTATATTAAATATATTTTATAAAGCTATCTTATTAGATAGTAGTGGTTCGTATTATAAAACCATGAAATTAACCACCATTGATCGTCGTTATTTAAACATAAAAGTCACCTTAAAATCAATATTGCACTTGCGTGCTTTAACAGTCGAATTTCACGTTAAAAATTTTTAGTGCAAGGAAAGCAAATAATCAATCAAATATTTTTGCCAATAAAATACTTTATCTAAGTATAGACTTTGTATTTTAACAACTTTTGGTAAACACGGAAAGAATACAATACTTTAATGGCACAAAATAACATTCACGTGAATATATTTAAATAATAATATTTTGCATAATGTATTATTCAAATTTTCTGTTTTTTGTTTCTTTTTTGACAATTATAGTCAGAAGATTTTTTAGTTGTAAAATAAAACAACATTTATTACGTTTGTATTGTTTTCAAAATATTTGCATTCAACAATAAGTTTTCCATAGGTTTATTGCAGATTTTTTTCGTCTTTCGTAATAATATGTTTTTTTTATATAAATCTGATAATTTTTAAAAAGTGTTTATTATTTTTCTGTCATATATAACGCATTTCAGATAATTATTATTTACAATTAACATTACGCACAGATTTTAATGTTATATGATAATTAGAAGAACAGCACACAAGTGATTGTCGAAAGCTGTTATCATTTCATCCTGTTAACTATTTTTGTCGTAAGATATTGAATGTGTGTGTGTGAGTTTTGGCACCACGATAAGGTAAGTTTATGAAAGCGCTAACTTATTTCCTGTTTTTTTACTATTATTTTAATTTAATACATTTGTGTTACTGTTAGATTCGATATTTATACGAAACCATGGAAGATCATTCAATATATGTATTTGCAAGTGAATTGAAAGTACCAATTCTTGAAAATTATTGTTATATCGCGAAAATTTACTATATATTACTCAAGTAAATAGATAATAAATCGAAACATTCTTTCATATTATTTTGTTCGAAAGAATAAATTTTCTCTTCAAAACAATTGTGTTAATAGATCAGATTGATTAGTTCGCTATCGATGATAATTTTTGGTTTGGTAAGTACATGAATCTATAATCAGTTTGCATTGTATATAAAACAATTTACATACTTGAGATTGCAAGTAATGCGGACGGCCTTATCATATTTCATGACATTCCTATCGCTTAAAAACTAATTACTCCCGTAAATTGATTAGTACTAATAAATTCCCGAACTTAAACCCTTGCTTAATTCTCTAATGAAATTTTTACACGATCTTGAGTATGTTTCTGCTTAAGGCTGCTTTACATTCTGTTTGTTACACACACAGCGATACGCTTAGAAACCGACTATACTTGCATTTATAGAGGGTCGCGGTTGAAGCTGAAAATTATAAGCCTTAAGAAAGCGACTAATTAATAAAGCAACAAAATAGAAAAATATACCTATTTCCATTCACTATTATTACTAGCAGACATAGTGTCTTTACTATACATCACGCTGAAGAAAATATGCGACAAACTTGTTCGAGAAATGATAATGAAAGGGAACGTCAGTTTAATTTTAAGACAGTTATATTGCTACGATGGAAACAGTTAATCTGTGCTGACATTCCCTAACATTATACAATATCATATCTTTTGAGAAGACGAAGTTACAACAAAGGATCAAAGAAATGGCATATGTTATTTGTATGGCAACCCTCAGGCAGAATGCAGGATACCATGCTGGTGCATGTCACGCGAGAATATAATATTAATAAGATATTTTTGACATACTTGGGCATTTGGCCGTCCCAAAATAGACTTGTGAGAAATTTCTTACCTATCTTGTATATCGCGCTCGAAATAAGCTACGCTCCGTTCGAGGTAATGTCATGTCAGACTGATATCAAGTAATGCGGTTTTAACATGCCAATAGATATAATTGCTTTATCGTATGTGTTCTGCTTCACGATTCACGCCGTAGATGTTAATGTTGTACGATTATCGGCACGACGCGCAAATGGTTTTTGAAAGTTGCTATCAATTCGTCATAACAGTCGCCTTTATCGTAAGACTGTGGAATGCGTTTTGGAATCGCGACAAGGTAAGCTTTTAAAAGAACGATGCGTTATCACGCGCATTCCCTTCGATTAAATTCTTTTTACACAGACATTATTGTTCACGATCAGTTCCGAGTTTTGTACGAAGCTATAAACGATCATTGGAATATATTCACAAACAAATTAGAAGTTCAAACTCTGAAGGATTATTCCGCCATATCGCGGAACTTTACGATATTTTACTCGAGTGAGTACACGATGTTACGACAAAAATAATAATATGTCTCAAGGTACCAAATTGATGAAAGAAATTTTTCATGATTTCTTGCAGCCATGATGTACCTTTTCGGTGGAATGTTTATCATTTCGCCGTTAACACCGATATTCTTAGATGTCGTTTTGCCTCTTAACGAGTCGCGCCCACGATTTTTCGCGATAGAGGTTGATTTTAGAGTAGATACGGATGAGTACTTTGTGCCAATTACTTGTTACATCACAGCTTTTTGTGTGGTGGGCGTAAGTATTATGGTGGCTGTCGACACGATGCATTTTTCATGCACCACTCATGCTTGCAGCTTATTTTCGATCATTGGGTAAGTGTGCGTAGGTGATGTGCGCGAAATTTGGATTTTAATTCGGGAAGTGTATCATGAGTGTTTCACAGTGAGCAAATTAAAAACATTACGTCAAAAATAAATACGAAGAAGTGCGAATATTGCCCAAATACAGAACTTGAATTGCCAAACGAGAAAACGATATACCAGGAATACATTATATGTTTAAAAAAATATCAGATTGCGTTGAAGTAAGCTGTTTTCCCGAGTTATTTTTCAAAATGACCATTTTATCTTATCTTGTACATCAAGTGTAGGTATGTTAGATTAATGCAAGATTATTGTTGCTAACATCGTGATTTTTAGATATGTAGATATATTAAATTCGACGTCCCAAACGGTTGCAATATTTTTCTTATTATTGATTGGTGCGACTTTAAGTCTAATTGGAGTTCGTGTAAGTATTGGATAATTATTTTTCAATAAGATTATGAAAAGCAACAATGATATAGATACTTTTTTAATTAATGCATTTCAGACGAAATAATTAAAATCTTTCTCGAGCTTATCTTTTTGTTATTTACTTTGATTTCGTGCGAGACATATTGAACGAAAAAGCGACATTTTAATAGATAATATATAATACATTTTTATTCTAGATTGTTTACGTGTTAAATGAAATAAAAGAAATGGCTAGATTTGCAACTATAATTATGGGAGCCTTGTTGCAATTGATGATCATGTGTTACTCTGGTCAGAAATTAATAGATGAAAGTCAGAATATATTTTACCGAGCGTAATACTCATTTTATATTTTCTGTGTTTATGCAAATGTAAACACGTGCATTTCAGAACGTAACCTTGATAAAATTTTCATACAATTCAATTTTAATTCAATAGTTTTTATTCTGTCTATATTATAAAAAGAAGCAGAGGGACAATCTAAATTAAAAATTCACGATTCATTTGAAAATCTTATCAATGTCGATTTTGGAATTGACTTCCTTTCAGATATGCAGCGGAATGGTACATGTTTTCACCGAGGCTGAAGACGCTACTGATTATAACTTTTTACAGAAGCATTACACCGTGCAGTTTAACTGCAGGCAAATTGCTTCCATTGTCGATGACGACTTATGCCGCGGTGAGTGCACGATCTGCATTATAAAATGCAAGTGTAATGCGAGAAAACGACTTGTGCGTGTCCGCATATTTGATTTTAGGTGGTACGAGCGGGCATGTCTTACTTCACGGCGTTCTTGTCGATTAAGAATTAATTGATTTTGCGATCCAAACGTTTTATTTTAGCATGATCACCATCTATCTCTTGATCTTTATGTATTTGATATTTATCTATCTTTATGTACGCATAAATATTTTACGTGTAAATATATTTATTTAAAAACATATAATGCTCGCTGCATACCTGATTCCCGGGTATCACACCGCCCCAGAACGCGACGTCCACGAACGTTTTCGCGTACGCCGCCCTCGCTTTAACTTTCAGATTGTCCAAAGTTGTAGTGGGCGGAATAGAATTTCTGCAATTGTGACGTATATGTATATCAAAGCAATTTCAACGTTTAATGATCGATGTAAAAAAAAAAAGCATTATTACAGAGGCATATCGGCGATCGTAGTGACACCGCCGGCCGCGGCCGCCCGTGTAGCGGTGTGGAATCCTTCCCATTCGGTTCTACCGGGCTCATTTACATGCACATGAGAGTCTATTATCCCAGGCATCAATACTGACGAGCCGCAATCGTGAAACAAAATGCCGGGATACTTCTGAAACGCACATCGATTCGCACATTTCGTTTCGAGTGACTCGTGCGAGACTCACCTCTGACAAATGTCGCGTGACGTTTTCATCGGCGTCGTACAATACTTCCTGTATTTTCTCACCGTTCACAACTAATGTGGCCGGTCGGACACAGCTTGCGAAGACCGTTCTTTGGGATACGAAAGCGCGGACCTGCGAATCTTCTTGAGAGCACATTTTGAAGCGTTTCCAATTCTGCAGTATGCAACTGCGTAGTCCGCAGCTCTATAAATAGTTTCAAGCACCTCTTATCAAGAGACACGGCAGTTAACGGAGGAATAAAGTGTGATTGGCGTGGATTGAATTACGAGAGGGCATGTAAAACAGCGATGACGTATTGATAAGTGCAGATAATTTGTAAGTGCAGGTGTTTTGCAAGTAATTATCTCCGCTCGAGCATTCCAATAGGATTTAAGATAAAAAAGAAAATGTTAAATTCTATGATCAAATCAAATCATATTTCAAACTTAGCGTACCACATTTGCAGGACTTAGTTGGATAAGGCACAGTTTTGGAAATGAAAATCGTAGGAAGCGCTTCAATGCTCATCCGCAGCATCTTCTTCGCCGCATTCGTCACTAAATCCGGCGCATTCAAATTTAGAATAAAACACTATTCCCTTGGACTGTATAATAATGCAAAAGATTGATTGTAAATAAATATGTAAAATAGCGATAACTAAGTACTGATACACTTATCAGCGTAGACAAGTAAAATAAAATTATTTTTGTTTCAGCATACTTGTATTTTCATTCATTAACGTTTACGCCTTAAGTTTGGAATTTCAACTAAATGAAAAAATGTACTGATATATTTCAAAGAAGATAAAACATTCAGAATGTCCAATCATATTATTGTTATTCTCGCACCCTCAACTACATGTCACGCTGTGTCGCGATAGCGGATATTATTTCTGAAAAAAACTTCCAAGAAATTTTTTTCAAATAATAATGCAATTTCGACAGATAAACTAAGACGAAAATATTCTGTCTACATGATGGCGATACGTGACATCCTATAATTTTATAATTCTACCTCGTATAGCACACCAAAATCGATCGACACGCACATGTGTCATTCCTATCGCAGCTCCCCGACAAGTAAAAACGCATCATGCTAGTGAACATACTTCGAGAATACAATATACAATAAAATATTTCTATCGTGCTTAGGTCTGTGGCCGTTCCAATGTAAACTCGCGAAACGTTTTCTTACCGATTTTTTGTTTTACACTTGAAATAAGTTACTTGCCGTTCGAGGTAATATAATATTCATTACTGTATCTTAATTTCCGCATGCCTGAGTAAAATCTTTAAAAATTTCCATTGCGCCGAATATCTCGTTTCTTCTATATAACATACGCAATAAATTATAATACAATTTATCCAGATATTAACATTGTACGTGCACAGACACAGTGGTCAAATGATTTTTGAATGCCTATATCAAATGGTTGTAACACTGGCTTTTCTTGTAAAGTTACTAAATCAGCTTTGGTACCGCGATAAAGTAAGTATCAAAAATATCTGCTCTTTAATTATTGTTCATACGAGATTGTATAACACATATGCACACAGATTTAATTATTTTCGCACGTTTGTTTTCCGTGATTAGTTTCAGCGTTTGTACGAAATCATGGAATACCATTGGAATGTATTTACCAATGATATGGAAGTTGGTATCTTAAAAAATTATTCCAACATAGCGCAAAAATTTGCAATATCTTATTCGAGTGAGCACTTCACATATATATAAATAATAATTAATAAGATAATTATTTCGCATCGAGAAATATTACTGAAAACTCAATGTACATTTTACAAATTATAGTACTGATATATTTCATGATGTCAATGTTTATAACAATACCCTCATTGGGTCCGATGCTTCTCGATGTCATACTACCTCTTAATGAATCGCGTCCACGGCAGCTCGCCGTATATGCAGAATATGGAGTAGATCAGGATAAATATTTTTCCCGATCTTTCTTTATATCAGTGTTATGATCACTGTCGGTATGACGATCATGGTGGCCGTCGACACCATGCATATAGCGTGTACCGCGCACGCATGCAGCTTATTTCAATTAATTGGGTAAGTGAAATAGAAGTGAAATATATGTAGAACAACTGCATCGCGAAATATAGCAAAAATCACATATTGTAGTCAACAAATTGAGAACATTATAAAGAATATACACGCTGGTAATGCAAATCAAGCTGGGTGCGCGAATGCTGAGTACGAATTGTTTAACGAAAAAATGATATATCAGGAATATATTGTGTGTTTGAAGAAGCATCAACTTGCTTTAGAGTAAGCGGTACTTTTTGTCTAATTTTTTGACCAATTATTCAAACGCAATAATACAAAATGTAATAAAAAAATAGTGTTTAAAATTATTATTACCTCATAGATATGTCGACATATTAAATGACACGCACAAAATTGTTGGAATTAGTTTCTCGTTATTCATTGCTGCAGTTTTCAGTCTGCTAGGAGTTCGAGTAAGCATTATACTATTATTTATCAAATATATCAAATGTATAATAAAAAATTGTCTTAAATTCCCGATTTTTTAGTATTCAAAAATTGTCATATTGTTAGGTAAATTTCGTCAAAAAATTATTATATTTCAGATGGCGTGGATATATATAATACCTTTGATGTATTATAGATCGTCTATGTATTAGACCAACTGGAAGAATTGATTAGATTTACATTTATAATCATGGGAGCATTGCTACAATTGATGATCGTGTGTTATTCTGGTCAAAAGTTAATGGATGAAAGCCAGAATATATTTCACCGAGCGTAATAATATATTATTTTATATTTTCACGCATATTTTTGCACTTACGTTATTACAATATTCCGAAATAGTCTAATAAATTTTTATTATTTCCAATATGTTTTGAAATTTTTATTTCAATTTAACAAATTTTTTTCACATAAAATAGTATTTTAAAATTTTTTTCGACATTTCTGGTACATGCAAACATGCGGAGTATTTTAAATATTAAAAATTATAGTTATTATATATATATAATAATATATATATATAATATATATAATATATATATAATTATATATATATTAAAAAAAGTAAAATTTAATTTATAATGTTCTATAGTTTGCGCCGAATTGACTGGCGAATAGATAAAAATGTCATAAAAAAATTTTTGTAAAATATCTTTGCAGGTACGCAGCAGAATGGTATAAATTCTCGCCAAGATTAAAATCGCTGCTAATTATAACTCTTTATAGAAGTGTCGTGCCGTGTAAACTGACAGCGGGTAATTTGTTTCCATTGTCAATGGCAATTTTCGCCACTGTAAGTGTAAAAATCGGTGGTTACATTATTTACAACATGCAAGAAAAGATATTTACATGTTCTATTTATCTACCTAACAATTAGGTAGTACGAACGGGCGTGTCTTACTTTACTGCATTTTTATCATTCCAAGATTAATGAAGACGCAAATGCTTAAGTAATTCTTCATTAACATGTCTTCAATTCAAACAGCAATAAACTGCAGATAAAAATTAGATATTAGCATACTTTACAAAAAGAGTATCAAGTATTAAAAGGAACAAACTTGCAAGGTAAGATGTCTAGTTACCAAAATCACATTTATCATGAAATCCACAGCTCGCATAATATCCACTGCTGCAACAATAATCAATCTTATAATATTTTGCAGATAAACATTCGCGTAATATCAATCTCGTAAAAAAAAACAAATTAATAAAGATTAATGATCAATGTAGTTGCGCAATCAGTGACTTTTATTCTCAAATAAAACCAACTAGCTCTTTAGTTTTTATGTAAATTTAGTTACAAAATAATATGTTTTTAAATAAAAAAAATATATATTAAATCTTCCGATACATTAAATCAAATCATATTCCAAGCTATTAGCGTACATCAAACAAAACTTGATTGGATAAAGCTGCACAATATTATTATCGCTCTTACTAGCAGCGGCAATAGCTTTGAAAGTAGAAGCAGTAAGAAACATAATTTCACCAGTGTTCGTCGTATCTGTTTCGCCGCGTTCCTCACTAGATTTACGCATCGAGTTCTAGAGAGAAATACGATCTCTTTTAGTTCAGTATTGCAGAGAATCGATTACGAATGAGCAGTAAAATAGTGATAACTAAGTATCGATACAGTTATAAGTGTAGACAAGTATGAAAATAAAATGATCTCCGTTTGAGCATTCCAAACTGATTGTATTTCCATTTCCACCTCAAGATGTTTGCATCTTAAGGTGGAAATTTCAACTAAATAAAAAAGTGTATTTTTATTAATAAATAAATACATTTCAAAGAAGATGAGACATTCGGGATATGCAATCGTATTATTGTTATCCTCGCACCCTCAACTACACGTCGCACTGCGTAGCAGTGACATGCAGATGTCATTTCCGAAAGGAGAATTCCAAGAAATTCTGTTCTCAATAATAATACAGGTGCAAAAGATGAATTAGAAAATAATCAGTATACATAATGGCGATACGTGACATCCTACAATTTTATAATTCTACATTGTATAGCATACCGAAATCGATCGACAAGCACGTGTGTCATTTCTATCGTAGTCCCCTAACAAAGTAAAAACGCATCATGCTGGTGCATATGCTCCGAGAGTACAATGTCAATAAAATATTTCTATCGTGCATAGGTGTCTGGCCGTTCCAAAGTGAACTCGTGAAATATTTCTTATCGATATTTTGCTTAATAGTTGAATTAAGTTACTTGAGATTCGAGGTAGTACGATATCGGTCAATATATTTTATTTTTTGCATGCGTTTTATTGGAATCTTTAGAAACTTCTGTTGCGTCTAATATTTCGTTTCCTTATGTAACGTATTTCATGTATGTAATGGATCACAATATAATTTATCCGTAGATAATAACATTGTACATGCACAGAGATGACCGACAGATAATTTTTGAATGCCTGAATCAAATGGCTGTAACGATTGCATTTCTTGTAAAATTATTGAATCAGTTTTGGTATCGCGATAAGGTAAGTATCCCATACGTTAATACATATTAATATTCTGTCGAGTGTTTATTTAATTAAGATATTGATATATACGTTCAATTTTTTCTATTCCATAATTAGTTTCGGCGTTTATACGAAATTATGGAATACCATTGGAATGTATTTACGAATGATACGGAAGTTCGTATCATGAAACATTATTCGAACATATCGTACAAATTTACACTATTTTATTCAAGTGAGTATATTTTTCTATGTACATACATGTATTTCATATTATTTTTGAATCTATTATTATTTTAATGATATTATAATATTGGGTTGTGTAATAAATAGTTTCGTATTTTTTAATAAATAATGTTACAGTTTTTAACCGCGCTTTTACGCAACGTGAAAAAATCGCAATACCGGCAAAATTTGAGCAAACAAATATTTAATTAAGAAAAAAGTAAACAAATTTATTTAAAAAATCAGAAATTGCTAAATGAGTCCAATTTGTTTTATTTTAATATTATTAAGAAAATAGATTTAAAAATATTGTAAAATATGCGTAGGATGTTTCAGACTGACCGTATCTCACCCGTTAATAACAAATTACTGAGTACATAAAAAAAGATATGTAATGATTGTATGTATAAAAATATTATTGAAAAAACAGTATACATTTCACAAATTTGCAGTATTGATATATGCCATGGTGTCAATGTTTATAACAATACCTTCATTCGGACCGCTGTTTCTCGATGTCATACTACCTCTCAATGAATCGCGTCCGCAACAATTGGTATTATTTGCTGAATACGGGATAGATCACAATAAATACTTTTATCCAATTTTGCTGTATCTTAGCGTTACGATCGTTGTGGGGCTAACCATCATGGTGGCTGTCGACACCATGCATATAGCGTGCACCGCGCACGCATGTGGTTTATTCGAATTAATTGGGTAAGTAAAATATGGAGTAATCAAAATATTCACGGTATTTTCTCGCTAAATATCTCGCGGGAATTATATTGCAGTACCCAAATCGAAAATATTATATCCAATGTAAATGCTGGCGATGTCAACAATCAAACCGAACATAGCGGAAATGCAAAGTGTGGGTTCTTTAACGAAGAAATGATATATCAGAAGTATATCGTATGTTTGAAGAAACATCAACTTGCTATAGAGTGAGTGATTTTTATGTAGACTTTCGATAAATTTTTCAAGAATAATGCAACGATGCAAAGTATGATAAAAATATATGATTAAAATTATTCTTATTTCATAGATTTGTCGATATATTAAATGACACGCACAAGATGGTTGGAATTAGTTTCGCATTTATTATTACTGTGCTTTTGAGTCTGTTTGGAGTTCGAGTAAGCATTAGAAGATTATTTATAATATATGTGAGATGTACGCATGTAATTGAAAAGTTTTCTTAAGTGCTTCGTTTTATGGGTAATCAAAAATTGCTATTGTAACGTAAATTTCGTGAAATTATTATTATATTTCAGGTGTGGATATATATAATACCTTTGATGTATTATAGATCTTCTATATATTAGACCAACTAGAAGAATTGATTAGATTTACATTTGTAATCATGGGAGCGTTGGTACAATTGATGATTATATGTTATTCTGGCCAGAAATTAATGGACGAAAGCGAGAACATATTCCATCGAGCGTAATATATTATTGTTGAATTTTAAAATTCTAATTTATTACAGTAGCAAAGTTGCACAGTTTATCACAAAAAAACTTTAGAGAACGCGAGCCGAAGCGCGAGTGAACGAGCGAGGGAACTCTCAGTTTCCATTAGAAGCGTGTTTACTTCGCGTGTTTACTTCGCGCACAAATATGCGCTAACTATGCAGACGCTCGTTCACATACACACGTATTACAATTATATCACACATCATTATAATTTCTTTAACAATTATTTTATATTTTCACATATATTTTTGCACATACGACAAAAAAATTTTCGGGTGCGTTTGCGTCACGATATTTCAAAACATTGTCTTTTAAATTTTTATTATTTCCAATGTGTTTTAAAATTTGTGCATTAATTTAAAAAAATTTTCACACAGAATAGTAATTAAAATTTTTTTAGCCAGTTTTGGCGCATGGAACAAGCATGCGTAAAGTTTCTTAAATATTAAAAATTATAGATAAAACAAAATAAAACTTAATTTCTAATGTTCCGTAGTTTGCGCTAAATCAATCGGCAAATAGATGAAGATATAAAAAAAAGTTTTATAAAATATCTTTTCAGGTACGCAGCAGAATGGTATAAATTCTCGCAAAGACTAAAATCATTGCTAGTTATAACTCTTTATAGAAGTATCGTGCCATGTAAATTGACAGCAGGTAATATTTTTCCGTTGTCAATGGCAATTTTTGCCACGGTGAGTACGAAAATCTGCAAACATTTATACATTTATGGCATGCGAGAAAGATTTTCACGTTTCTATTCATTTAAGGTAATACGAACGAGCATGTCTTACTTTACCGCTTTTTTATCGTTGCAAGAATAGTTAAAACACAAATGTTTAAATAATTTTTCATTAATACGTCTTCGATTCAAATAGCGATAGTGCACATAAAAACATAGATAATAGTATATTGTACTTTGTAAAAAAGAGTGTCAAGTATTTGAATAAAAGGAATAATCTTGCAAGGTAAGACGCTTTTATTTAACAAAATCACATTTATTATTAAGTCCATAATTTGCTTAATATCAGCTGATGCGACTATAATCAATATCACAGCATTTTGCAGGTAGACATTCGTAATGTCAGTCTCTTAACAAAATAAATTAAGGAGGATTAATTAATTATTGTAGTTGCGCGATCGATGACTTATACTTTTAAACAAAACCAGCTAGCTTTTTAGTTTTCGTGTAGGTCCAGTTACACAATATAATACGTTTTCAAACGAAAAGAACAATGTTAAATCCTACGATGCTGTTCAATCGAACCATATTCCAAGCTGTTAGCGTACCACATCTAACAGGACATGGTTGGATAAAGCTGCACAATATTGCTATCGCTAATTAATTCTATTTTCCTTACATAATATCTCTTTAACGTTACAGTATAACGTTCATATGCAATTAACCGTATGTTCCAGGTAAGAATGCAAATATCTTTTTCTTTTTTTTAGAACGTGACAAATGAACTGGATATAAAAAATATGTAAATGCAAATAAGTATGTATAATTATTATCTCTGAGAGATTGTTTAGAGATCTCAGCTTCAACTTTTATATAACATATAATGAAAAATATCCCCATTTATCAAGATCTGTTAGAAAAAGTAATCATTTCGAACACTATTTGTTTACTAATTTTAGCGAATTAATTTGTTAATGAATAAATAATTGGATTGGTATTATAATTATAATATAATTGCATACGACATATATACTTTTTCATACAAAATATTATTGCAGAGAGCGAAGCATACGATATTAATTGAAATTTGCGAAATATATTTAGAAACACTATCGATGGCTTCTCTTCATTTCTTTAATTATTAATTTAATTGACCCAAGAAACTTAGGAAGTCGTCCTATAAATAATTTCATAATTTCTCCAAATAATTCATTACGTCCCCAACAACAAGATTCAGTAACAACGATGTTGATATTAATTTCATTCGTCAGCGGACTTCGTTAATTTATCGAGACAATCGTACGATTTCGATTGCGTGACGTATCTGCAACATAGAAAAAAAGTTTCGTTAGATAGTTGAACAGTTGTAATAATTGATTAATGCAGCTGAAAGCAAGAAGCATATAAAAATCGGTGAAATCGGAATTGTTAATAGAGCGAAGCGCGAGAGAACTAACCCCGTGTTAATAGTTAATTATTACTCTAAACTGCATGGTTTGCGTGACACAACCGTTTATGCGCCGGATCTCTTCGGGCGACGTGCAGTATCAAGTTCCCGGCTTTGGCGGTCTTGAACATCTGCAACGCCTTAGTGTGCGTTAGGCCGTCTAACGAGGAGCCATTGATAGCTAGAATTTCGTCTCCACCTCTCAGTGTACCTTCAACATTACGGAGAAATGACAGTAGAAATTGCATTTTTTTCTCTCTAATTACTATCGTCGCATTCGTCCGCGTGTTATTTTATTTACTTTTCGTGCGAGTAGCTTTCAATGCGAGAAATACGATACCTTCCTCCGCCGCCTGTCCGCCGGGCATGATGTCTTTCACGAAGATACCCATGCGTCCCTTGTTGCTGTCCACTCCGCCGACGATGGAAAAGCCCAATTTCTTCGGCGCGCCTTTCTCCAGGACGATCGTCAGCAGATCCAGAGATAAACTGGACCCTCGTCGCAGGGCGGGAGCCTCGGCGCTTCGTTTCCTCACTATCTGGAACTTCTTCATTCCGGTCATCTTCTGAAGACTCGCAGCCGCCTCGTTGATGGCGCAGGAACTGCCAGCCTTCGTCAGAGGTGGCAAAGCGTCGTCGGACAAGGCTGGCAGTTTGGCTCGCCCGTGTTTCGAGACCCACGCGTCGGGATCGCTTCGCGTGCGCGTCAAGGCGCTGCCCCAGGTGTCGCCGATCTCCTCGCCGAACGCCGAGCTCGGTTCTCTCGCGATCTGCAGCTCGACCGTGCCGACGCAGCTCCGCAGGGCGTTCCGCGCCTCCGCCATCGACATGCCGCGTATCCTGCGTCCGCAGACGCGAACGATCTCGTCGCCCACGCGGAAGTGCTTCGATCTGGCCGCCTCGCCGTCGGGATCCATTTTCGCGATCACGTAGAACGGTCGGGCGGCCTCGCATCGCTCGACCTGGATGCCGAGACCAGCCGTGTGGTTCACCGTCAGCTTCACCGTTCTCAGCTCGCGTCGGATCAGGGTCTTGCTGGCGATTACGGCGCCCTTGGAAGCGGAAGCGGTAGGCGGCGCGGATCCGGCGGTGCTCATCGTCAGCATCTTCTTCGCCGCGTTCTTCGCCACATCCGGCGCGTCGAGTTCTAGAGTGGAACGCGATCTCTTTGGGTTGTAATATTGCAGAGGATTGCTCATCACCTCGGACAAAGGACGAATCTTGTTAGCCGGCGGACTGTCCTTGCACGGAGACGCGGCGTGTTCCAGCAGATTCAGTATACTCGGACTGGAGCATTTCCGATTCTTAGACTTTTTGTCCTTTAACAGATTCTGCAGTTTACCTATTTGAGATACGACGCCGTGATTTTCCACCGTTGCGCAGGGCTTCCTCTCGCCAGACTCGATCTTCGTTTTGTCGTTATCGCCGCCACGTGCGTCAGCGTCGTTGGAAGCGTCGCACGGCGTCAGAGTAACATCGAGATCATTGTTGTCCGTCACTTGGAGCTTCGTTAAATCTTCGCCGAGCTGAATGGAAGTTGCGGACGCCGCCCTCATCAGATCCTCGCGACACTTGGGAAAGAATTTCGCGTCGGTTTTAGAATAAACCCTCGTCAAATCCGGCTGGTATTCCAGAAAATCGGCGAAGGTGTCTTCCTCGCAGCTATCCGTATCGTCGCCGTCATCCGGCATTAGCATCGTCAATTGCCTCGCCGTCGTGGCGTCGAGGAGAGCGTTGTAGGCCGCCGTGTCGACAGCGGCGTCCGCCGCGTTGATCTTCTCAGTTTTCGGAGCACACGTTTCCGCCGAACACGGCTCCGCGGCGTTCGCGTCCTTTTTACGCAGGGTACCGCCGTGCGGTAGCGACAGGTTGAAGCCGTGATAATCGGCCGACGTCACCGAGAAACTGCGCGGCTTCAGCAACGGCGGTGCCGTCGATTTTTCACTGTCCGGCGAGTCCGCGCCAGCTCGCGTGCTGTCCGAATCGTAACCGCTCTCGTCGCAGCCTATGCGCAAATTGTTCAACAGGTCCTCCAAGCCGGTCAGCACGCCGGAGCATCCGTGAGGATGAAGATTTCCCTTAACTTCGCCGGCGCTACGGGCGCCCTGGTGGCCGGACAGTCGCGTCGGCGCGCCGTTCTTCGTTTCCTCCGCGCGACCGTCGGAACACTTGGCGCTCGCGCCGATGTTCTCCAGCGTTTCCCTCGCGAACGTGCCACCCTGCCGCGTCGTCAGGATCTCCCGATTCTTGAGTAAGTAGTCCAAGACCCGCTGCTGCTCCTGCAGGTCCTGAATGCTGCGGCTCAACTGCAACTTCTTTTGACGAAGAACCGTTTCCCGACCGATACGAGCGTATTCGTCAAAGTTCTCGGCGCAGATATCGCGAAACGGAACTTTCCTGATCGCCCCTTCGCTGAGAGTCTTCCCCATCGGACAGTGAGCGACACTCACGACGTCCTCCTCCTGTATTGTCGCGCTTCTCGCGGAACTCTTGGAGGGACCGAGCGGCTGATCGCCGCTGGTCCTAAAGAGGTTTCGCAACGATTCCACCCTGGGGATTCTCTTTGGCCTCGGCAGCTCGCTATCGCCCTAAAAGCGTCGATTATTCAGAACAACGTCCGATTGCGTGTTAAGCTATGTGTTACGTGGTCATTACGTTTGCTTTCTCGCGCGTCGTTTCGTCGTGGTCGTTCTTGCGGTGCGGGCTCCACCGTCGTCGTCGCCGCGGCACCGAAAGCAACTCCGAGCTGTCCGATCTCTTCATTTGATCCCACCGCCGGCCCATTTTCCGTCCCCACGTGGAGATCCCTTTCGAGTGGCGGAAAAGGTGCAATCGATTTTAAGATACCGATCGAGATTAAACTTAATTCTTATCAAGCGAGGTTACAAACACGGATGCCGTGCGCATGCGCTGTAAATATAGATATTCTATTACACTCCTACCTTTACGAATCAGAATAGACGAGTCCATAGATTCTTTTTGAACGTCGGCGACTTCTCTGACTGGGAGAGTGCTTTCCAATCTGCCGTCTGTCTTGGATTTTTTTTCTGGTCTCTCAGACGCATTACTTTCGATATTACTCACAGCGGCGGCGTCCTGAGAGATCGGTACAGCCGAAACAAGCTGCGGGCTCGTATCGGCCGTGTAACGTTTGAAAAGACGCATTGTGCAAGTGTGCTGCAAGTAAAATTACTCACTTATGATAATGTAAATTGTAGTGCGACGAAGATGCGTTCGAGCAAATGAAGACGTGACCAACGAATTTTCTAGTTAAAGCGGGAAAATTCTTCATTTTTCTCCTTTGATCTTTTTTTTTCTAGTTTATTGTAAATATTCACAGCGCTGAAAATTTACACTGAGCGAGAAACGCCTCTCAAATTTAAAAAAACCTACGGTACCGACTACGGTAAATTCTACGGGTCACCCTATACGTATAAGAGTAAGAAAAGCAAAGAAAGAAGAGAAACGTGGAAGGGAAAGGTAAGTCGCTTCGCGAGACAGCCTCGGACTTCCTTGAAAGGTTTGTCGTCGGATGACGTCAGCCCTCGTCCACGAAACGGTCGCCATCGCGTATGTACATCTGTCGCGTGCATATGTGTATTTCACGTTTTTGAATAAAAAGAAGTAAAATGGACTGCGAGAAGAACAGCACAGGTAGGTAATCGGACAATGAACCTACCTACACGCGCGATCTCTTCCTATTCTTTATTTTCGATCGTATTGCACCGCGATTCCTCTTCCGCAGTTTATTTCTCTCAAAAATTGTCCCTCACGTTCTCTTTAAATAAGTAAAAATTATATTTATACATTTTGATATTTTGTAGTGGACTAACTAATAAAAAATGGGTAAGAATATTAATAATAACGTCTAAGAATTAACAAAATTCGCGTAAAGTACAATAAGTCTCAGTTAAGAGGCTACTATCGCACTATCATTTAACAGAAAATACATCTGTACAGTTTTTGCAACTGAGAGCATTGGTCAAGAGTATATCCGAGAGACAACAATACGATAGAGATATCTGAGATGCGATCTGTGTGATTGCAAATTCGATGAGTAGTGAAAGCAAGGATCTACTTGACTTTGCAATTAGTGAGAGAGCCGAGCGTAAAATATTTCATCTACTATAAAAATGTCGGTCAATTTTTCGATCGTTAAAATCGCAGAAAAGAAAAGACGGAATCGTCACGTCTAGCATTTTAGCTTGCAATTTTCCGCAAGTGAAACAATTTAATTTCTTTTCCCAGAACTTTATTTACATAAAATTTGTATACTTATGCAACTGTTATCGGACAACAGTGGGCCGAAACTGTTAACGCAACCGAGTCACAACGAAGTCCTAATTTGGACTTGAGTTACGACACAGCCTCATTTTCCGATGAATTCAGAGCCGCCAAATATGGATTATAAAATTAATGTCGGAGATCTCTCGTTGATGAACGTGAAATAATTTTTTATACAAACTTTAATTGCGATTCTAAAAATACATTTCGATGTCGTAAGATTTGACTTTTCACATTATCATATTATAAAAAGTTCACACTAACTGCTTATAGTTTCTTTACAGAATGAATATATCAAATATATAAACAGAGAGACAAAGATGCGGGTCTGATGTGCTCTTCGCTGGGTTCGCGTTAGCCCTCGCGTTTTACGTTTGCGCTGTTAGGCACACCTGACTCTCCACCAGCCATGGGAACCTGCCGTGCCTTTCGGGAAGCGCTATACGTGCCAGCGAGCAGATGTCCATTGTCCTTGCGAACGAGGGATAACAGCTACCCATCACCCTCGTCTTTCCATCAATTAGGCGTACGGTTCTATATAATAACGTACAATTCTGCAATTTCTTTCATACAATTACGCGGATCTGGCCACAAAATCCGGGACATAATGGTAAAATTTCCAATTAAAAGACGCGGTTCGACGAGTCGAAGAAATGAAATCGGTGCCAGCGCGGCGACGTGAAGTACGATAAATATCTCGGTCGCTCGACAGATTTCTTTCTCTCTTCTCTCTCTCCTCCTTAATTCCCGTATAAGCCACCTATATTTTTTACTCTTCACCGAACAGCGTCCCGTAGAAAGTAAAACTATCGGCCCCGAGGCTGCGTGTCCTCGAACGCAGTCTGGCACACATTCGTTACACGAGTAAGGCGAACAGGTCTTTTTCTGAAGAACACGCAGATTTCGATAGAAAATATTGAGAGCTAATTGACGACAATTCAATGTCAAATTACTTGATCGGCAGAGACGGATTTTTTAACAGATTAAAAATTTTCCAGCAGAAACAACATTTGTAAATTCAACTGTAAATTTTTACCACGAATGTATTTATTTTTATATGCATTTCTGTTTTTCAGCGCTGCTCAAATTACAAGTAAGGAAAAGTTTATCCGAGAAGCCGGTACGCAAAGTTCAATTTCCCCTCGTGAAGCATGAAAATGATGAGGCATGAGTTGATGTAAATGTATGTAATCAGGTATGCCGCGTGAAGGGTAAAAATGTTTGCACCTGCACGCCCTTGCGTTTTAATGAGGAATAGAAAATTCGTTTAAAAGCGCTAGTAAATTCCTAAGTAAAATTTCATTAAAAATAACACATCAATATTCATTGCGGATGATATCAACGTTAAATTTCGTGACTAGTACGAATATATATATATATACACGACGTAGGAACGCCAATTTTTATAGATACTTGTATCAATATCGCGTCCTTTTCAGCCGTCCGTCAAGATGGCGTTGAAAGGGGCGTGTTTTAATCTCATAGAATAAAGCGGGCGCACTGCATAACTGTAATACATCTCGCGCATCGTTTAAGATCTTATACCGTTATCTCGAAATAGGTGAGTTCACGGTGTACACATAACCTGCTGTGCGTATATCCGACAGTTAATTACGTTATTTATAATATTCAACTATCGATACGATCGAACCGAATGGTTATGCATGACCCGCGACACTAGAACTCGCTGCAGACGGTGCGGTTATTCGCGAAATATTTATGCCACGTATCTTATTGCGCGATTATACGCGATTGGAACATTATCACATTGACGCGCGTTATTTGCATGATGCAACACTCAGTTCGGAGATTATTTATTCGTTTGAATACGCGTCGTTCGGAGACGCGGTATATAATATATTACACGTAGCGCATATCGTAAATGCAAGTGTGTGACGCGATTTATACCATATACGCGCCTCGTATATACCCGACATATCCTGGACATTCGAGATATCGCTTCTTCGTCACGGATCACTCGCCGCGGTGAGAGGGTCAACGTTTCTCAAGTATTCTAAGAAAAGTATAGTAATCGTTATTAATGATATCGCGCATACTTCAACCTTGATCGATAATACGATATTCATGCGAGCAAAATTAGATCAAATCGCACACTTTTCTATCGCTCGTACGTAATTTTATCTGCAAAAAATACATATGCATATATTTATGCACCGCGACACTCGTGGCGATCTGATGCAAATATATCGCCACGTTAATGTATTTCGGAAATAATTATCTGGAAAATCGAGTACGCAAAATATTTCTTTCGATCGTGCTTAGAAAACTAATGAAACCGGGTAAGAAATTAGCAATTGTAATTGACAAGCTGACTCTCTAATTCGTACATATTTCTCAAAAAGAAATTTTTAGAAATAACAGTATTTCAACGATATCTAGAAACACTGGAATTTAAAGTGCTCACAACATCAAATGGCAATCTTCAGAATGTTCCGTTACACAACAGCTACATAAAATGAGAACTGCATTCGAACATCTTGGATCTTCTCGCTTTGTGAATAGCACGCTATGAAATTTAAATATATAGATCACAAGATAATGGCAAAACTGTTCCATACAACATTGTTTTCTTTTTAAAACTATATTTGTATCGAAGCACTACATCTTAAAACATTATAATTTTGAACACTAAATATCTGCTTCGATAAATAAGAATAAGATAAATAACTTGTGTGTTTTTTTTCGCGAAAATAAATTCTATTGAGAGAAGATGATTTAACAAAGAGAAATTTATGCGTACTGATTTATTAATGATAAAAAGATTTAGTCAAAAATCGGTAACTCGCGCGTACAATATCGTTCGTGAGATTAACGTGTTGACGTTAAATTATGCGGAACTGACAGACATTTATTTACGTCACTGTCCTCTAAGAAACATGCGTCGATATCTAGTAAACATACGATTAGATGTAATCGAGTGTGAAGCAGTGTACACACGAAATGTTCCAATATTATAAGATTGTATCAATAAACAATTCAATTGTTTTCACCAGGATATTCTAATTATATTAAAAAAATATGAAATTATCCTACCAAGAATTAATCACAAAATTAAGAAGCGATATCGGAAACACAAAGGCAGTGCAGTGACCACAAGCGGATAACAAGCGGAGTGGAAAATGAGATAATAAGCGCTGCGACTTGCCTTCGAGATCAGAGGATGTTATTACTCCTCGACTGCAGAAACATACCCTTCCGGTCGGAGCGGTGCGTCATCGGCGATTCCGATCTAATTTTCGATTTTACCGCGCGCCTGCGAGCGCGGAGAAACGCACTAATAAACAATACGGTCAGTTGTACGCACGTCCGTGTCGCACGTTCCGTTTCGGAGGCAACTCGAGGCAGCCTCGAGAACAACGCACTGATATCTGCCACCGATCGACGAGAGGGAAGAAGCCCCGCTCGTTCGATGCGAACGTTCACCGGCAGGACTCGCTCGAAACTGCCGGCATCACAAGCGCACCGATTGCTCGTGGCGCTGGCTCTGCGCGGAAATACAATTCCTTTACCCCCTCCCGCTCTTTGCCCCGCGCTTGTTTTGCTTTTTCATTAATAATTACATCAATAACACTTTGCGATAATAATAAACGACAGCGATAATGATAGTACGTTTGATTCGGACGCTCTTTTCTCCTCTCTAATTAACCTTGAGAGACAATAAGATAAAACTGATAACGATTCCACGGCTACATAACTTTTAGAAATTAAAAGAAAGTTATCGCTTTCGAAAATTTCTAGAAAACAACAAACAATATGATATATCGCGACCAGTGTACCAAATCTGACCATCCGAATGCGGTAAAAAGCTAGTAATACTAGTTTCAATAAGATTATCGTCCGGCTCCGGTGTAAAGAAGTCGGGCAAGTGCGAGAAGAACCTGCGGGGAGAAACAGGTTCTAGATTCATTCACATCTCGCGCCGAGGCCTTGAGCCAAGCAACAAAAAGCGCTCTCTCTATGCGATTCCTACACCACAGGCTCATCTTGCAATCCACCGTGGCTACTGGCGAGGTATGAAAACGAGTAGACGTGCGCAAGAAGGGTGGCGCGGCGCGATACAGTCGGAAAAATCAGATTCTCCTCTTGCGCAAGGAGCCGGCCGTGTCGACGAGTCGAGCGTTTTGTACATTTGCGTTGTCCGGAGGCGCTAATCTAAAAAGACGCGGGTTGCGTGGGTAACGCACGAAACACCGGCGTTTAAGAAACAAGCTCGACGTGGCCTACGCCTTTCTCACTAATCTCACGATCGAGCGATGAATTAATATTGAAAGCACGGACGCCGTGTATGGTTCAGCGTTGATTTACAGTAAAAAAATGCTAATCTCTTACGACATAGACTAAATCGATTTAGGGAGACACGTGCCTTTTCAAAAATGTAGAAACCGAATGTTCCCATTTTCGTCCGCGAGCGTGTGCGGAATGAGGCTGCATGTCCTAATCGGAAAAGCGTGTGCGTATCGGATCCTACGATTCTCTCGATTAAAAATAATTGACAATAGTCCAGACATAGGCCGGCCGTATCGTAGGCTATCATCTTGAATTAATTCAAATCGATTGGGAAAAAAAAGTCCACGCCGACGTCGACGCCGACTTATTTAGCAATCGGCACACACGATAGGTAAAGTAAAACCAGTATCTATAAAGCAGCCATTCCCCTCCGCCGTAATGTCCAACAGCGATCATTACGTCTCGCTGTTACGCGCGGTTGTTGTTCCCATCGACTCGGCCACAAAGCTAATTAAATGTACCGTCGCGCCTTGCAATTAAGGAAAATGACCGGTCTTCGCCAAAACGTAAATAATTAAAACGAACGACAGGTAACCTTGGTCGTTAGGAAGGACGATTGCGTGAGGTCCTAATAGCCTCGTAATAAATCGTATTTCAGTAGAGAGCTTTAATCAATCGCTGCATCTTATCAGCGTAAAATGGAAAGTATACATCACATATGTTAAACATCTGTCTTAACCATTTATTGTCCGATACTTTCTACTTTAGTGATATGCCAATTACGCATTCCATCCTGATTTTTAATTTAACTAGAAATTTTTTTTGAAATTGTACAATTATATAATTATACTATGTTAGGTTAGGTTATGTTATGGACATGTATAGATAATACTATTAAGTTGGTGCGAAAAGTTTGTTAGGTAAGATTGAAAACAGAATTGCAGGATTTTTAATAAATTTTTACAAACTAAAATGAAATTGAATTCAATACATTTTTTCATCTAGACAGAAATTTTTACACGCTTGAGTTAAAAAACTTGAAACTCTTAGAATACGAATCGATAACTCTATTCAAAATAGATCTTCGCGGAGAAGCGAGAAACCTTTTACACGAAGCTAATATTATCCTAATACGCTTTGCAAATGTTTGCAGAAAAATTAATCACATGTGCCTCGCGGATAATCAGCGTGTTAATAATAATTAGAACGATAAACTGCCTAAAAGAATTCGCGTTTCAAATTTACGAGCCGAAGCCCAAAGCGATATGTATATATGAGTCATAGTTAAAACCGCTTCATTAGCGTTTCCCGAGTGCTCGACTGAACGATTGCTTCAAGGAATAACTGTAACGGACTTTTGCTAACCCTTGACTGTGGGCCGTCCCCAACGAACTTCCACTCGCTCTCGACGATGCCCACAGTGGTAGTCATTTTACGGGCCAGTGACTTCGCGAATTATTTCGCCGGTGTGTGCGTATGTATGTGGACGATCTCGACTGCACGATCATCGACAGTCCTTATGCAAATAATCGATTAACTCCCGACGGGCGGGACAGATTCCGCGGTAGACGCAGGAAGTGGATTAAGCACGCGGAGATAATAAAAATTAAATTCACAATCTTGTGAGACTTTTATCTTCATCTTTATCTTAATTCCTCGCATTTCCATTAATCCAACGCCTCCGTCTTGTCTCTCCGAGCAATTATGTTCTTTTTTTTTCTTGCTTCAGCGCAGGAAGTCGGTGTGTGCTTATGACATGTGTCCGAGTTAATTGGGAGCTTCATTCGAACTTGATGGCACGTGCCGCGTGCCTTCGAGGGGCGCCTTCGGGCGCCCAGGGAGTCTTGCAGGGAAATAGGGTTCACGAACCGTGAAAATTTAATGTTCTTGATGGGCGCGGTATGTTATTGCCGTAATATCATACAATGTATTTGTACACGAAGTACGCACGAAGAATAGACGGAGAGTTGCAATAAAAATGATATTGTATAGAGCGAAACTTGACGGCTTGCGGGGTGCATGACTTTCCGATATACCAACCGGCGGATGTTAACAGTCTGGTATACATATGCGGATGTCTATGCGCCGATCTCTCGCTCTAATGGTTCCACCTGGGTTCGGATACACGTATCCGTGGGTGGTCCGTCATGCGCTTGAGAAGCCAGGTGTAGATTGAAGGAAGAAAGGAAGCGAGCTTACTTCCTCGACCTCCCGGTGGCGATATCGACTCGCGAAGTTCATCCTGCCCTCTACATTCCACAATCAATATTCTTTTCGCGCGGCGCGCAGAGCGAAATCGTTTAAAACAAAAATCGGAATGCTCCCTTAAAATTTTCGCGGCTGCAAAGGTCTCGCGGAAACCCCAAAAATGGAAAGGGAATTGATTGGCGTAGTCTCTCGGGCGAGAGTGGGCAGAAATGGCGAGAACAATCCTCGCGCGTTCACAGTAAATTTGATTGTTCGGAGGCAGGACGGCCCACGCTGTCCGGTGCGCGAGTCCGCCACGGGGAAACGCCGCATTCTTATTGTCCGAGAAACTAGCGTAGCGCGGCGCAGACGGTGTGTACATACACGGCGTCGTGTATGTACCGACTAGTTGTCTCCTCCAACAATACAATAACGATGGAAGGCGTCGCTTACGGGCACGTCCGCCTAGTATAGTCGCTCAGCTATCGACGCGTTGCGCGCCGGTAAGATATCTCGCGCGTCTCTCTCTCTCTCTCTCTCGTGCGAAATGCCCTCTCGTGAAATATCGCTTCCGGGTCTCTTCGCCGAGTCTCTTCGCGTCTAACGTTGACCCGTAAACGCGCGTACTGTTATAACGTTTTCGATAAGTTGTATGGAGCCGTGAATCAGATGTATCTTCGCGATCAGCTTTGCGCCGTTTCAATGTCCCGTGTTGCAGTAATAGTTTTGCGCGGCGAATGCAAGTAAACGGGCTACATTTAATTGCACACTAAAACTGCGATCAGTCGACGCTCCTATCCTTTCCCTCAGGTGCATCACTTGAATTTTTAGCGCCGCCGTTATCCTCGCAACACGGCAAGCGGCGCATTAACGACGCACTTAACTCTGTTAGAAAGGGATCCATCCACGCCTCGGAATTGAGAGAAAGATGGGAGTAGGAGAAACAAGATGCTATTCCCACGCCGCGCCTGCTCGGGATGCTACATGCACTTTCGCTATCTAATTTTATCGGAGCTGGTGCATTGCGAAACGCACGTGATAGGTTCGCGACTGCAGGCATTTTTGTTTGGGCGGCGCGGATTCGCGCCGCGCGATCTCGTCTCGAAGCAAGCAAACGCGCGAATATGTAGTAACGGTAAAGCGATAGCTATCGCAAGCATGGATTACTTTGGCTCTACGGGAAGAGCGCTAAGTGATTTTTTGTTAGAATAAACTATAAAAATTTATCACTGCCATTTATTAATACTTGAGCGAAGCATTTATCGCACACTCCATTTAATCGAGACGTTATCCAGCATTTTGCCAAGCGCTGCTATCTTCTAAAGTAATATTCTTCATTTAAAAAAATTCGAAACATATCCGTATTAATTATCCCGCGGAAGATTTCTTTCAACGTGGCAGTTTTGATTCAGCGCGAATGAAAGACGCGACTCCGTTGATTTTGCTCAGCCTTCTTCTAAACGTCGCATTGTCACAGTCTTTCGCCACGGTGCACCTGAATATTGCGCCTCTGCGTTTCCAGCACCTGTTTCCACCTTGACACCTGACGGAGCCTTCTCGCGCGCGTGTTTGTCCGTAGGGGTTCGTGAGCGCATCGCTTATCCACGCGACGGAGTCGTTGCCAGCGCGGCAACGACCGTCAGTGCGTTACACCGTAAATAGCACAATGCAAACTCCGCAATCTCATTTGCGGTTTCGATCATTTTTACTTATCCTAACGCTATTTGTGGTTGGGCAAAAATAACAGATTCGTCGACATTTTTCTTGAATACCAAATACTTGCAAAAATGTTAAATAATAATGAGATGTGACGGATTTCCGTGAATTTTCCATGAATATTCACGCAAGAATACGTAATAATCTGATTTATTTGTAAATAATTTTTATTGCAATTATACTATTGCGATAGAAATTTCTTGTGTATCGCGCCAGTAACTTGACAACCGCATGCACACCGCTGCTTACGGATATACTTTCTCTCTTACTGCGAAACTGACCAACGATATTTCTCGTGAACGGTTAAACGCAGATAAAGTTTTTATAAAAGAAGAGTAATGTTGTCTTTATTTCATAAGCTTGGGAAACTGATTGTTACATAATCATTTCAGTGAGTAATACGCGTAAGAAATTGTGCTTCATGGTAAATCTAATCCTACATTTCATGGCTAATATTACGTTTACAATTTTTTGCTGAAAAATTGCCACAGTTAATACGAACGGATCCGAAAAATTGTGTGGAATCTGAAAAACACAATAGCACCAATCGCGTTCTCGTAACGCAAGCAGCTAGAATCAGAGATTACAGATGAAGAGAAGATTTGATTGAAACTAATTGGTAAATTAGCAGCAAATTCTCACCGTGAACTCTGAATTATTACAGAGACGATCAATTATTGTTGGTTACGTTGTTGTTAAATGCGTAGCATTTTACGTCGCATCTGTAGTGTAAAAGAGGATGGCCGCATCCGGAACAATCGGGTTGCTTTAAAGAATTCGCACATTAGAACATTTGACATGCGGAAGTAACATTTCGAAACGAGATATCTACCTGCACTACTTGAGCGCAAAGCCACTGACTGTACACACATCCTGTGTATGCATACGTGATTTGCGGCACCAGCGAGATTTGAGGTATTATTGGGAGCGACGGAAGCCCCCCCTCGGGGGGTATCATACCTCCTGTAAATCGAAAGTAAGCCTGAATCTGCGGCGATTAAAAATGTGAAATTATACACGAGAGAGTCGTGTTACGTACCGGGCGGGCGCATACCGGGCGGGCGCGCACCATTCGGGATGCAAGTGCCATTAACGCAAGGACGACCAGAAGGACAAATACCACCAGCGCCGCAAGTCGTGTTATCGAAAGTATTAATGACATTGTGAATGTCGATATTCGTTGTTATGTTGGTAGTTTTCAACCCATCGGACGGACTGCAGTTCCCCGACACGCATTCCGTCTCGTATTCCGTGATAATCTGATGCCGATGCCTGGTTCTCTTCGTGCAGTAGCTACACTTCTTTTCGCAATCGTGCTCCCTCTGGTGATCGCACTTTTTCAGACACGATTCCAAGCAAAAAGTGGGATCTGCGAAATTTTATTGCTTATCGCTTACGGTCAGAATTTCATTCTCGCGCGAACAACGGCGTTTAACGTAACGGATAATTAATCGGAAATTTATGCAACGATAAAAGCCGCCGTGCGCGCGGATGCTGTTTGCGCAACAGCTCGCGCTAATGATCAAGCATGTTGCGCAACCGCACATGTTACACTGAAAAAAAGAGATCCAGTAATTTGAATTTAATACGACGGTGTGTCTATCTCTCAAAAGTGATCGTGTAACAGCTGCAGTTGCATAATATGTTTGAGCGAAGGCAGCACGCGAATTCCCGCGTTTATCTCGATTGTTATAGCGATTGGTGGTCTACCGGATTCATGAATTCCGTCTCCGTGGTTCGTATGATGTTGCCTCTTCGGTCGCATTAAGCACTTCACGTATTTCTTGTAATCCGGATTCCGGCATTCGTCGTGCACCTTTTGCTGCTCCTCGGTGATCGCCCCTTCGGTAATATCGAGCTCCTCGTTCCCGCGTACCAGCAGCGCGTGCACGCTCAAAACAGCGAGGAGATGCACGACGAATAGATGCGTGAGTTCCATAGTAACGAGATTTCTCGACGAAGTAATCGCACGGGATGAGCGACGCAACCCTTTATACCTTAAGCCGCTTACCGGAGACGACGGGGTTAACGACCGTCCGCAACGTTTGCGCTGTCAAAGTCTTAGTTGGAAGTGTTTGCGCCGCTCTCGTAAAGATACGTCGTCGCACCTTCGCTAATATATTAACGCGTAAATTGTTATCTGCCTCTCGGCAACAGAGTGCAACGTCAAATTTGCACTGCTTATCGCGCGCGCCGTCCGCGCAAAGAAGCTTCCCCGAAACTTGCACTTTTACGCCGCCCAGCTGTATGCGCGCGGCGTAACGAAGGCGAAGGGTGCAAAGTGTTAACTTCCATAATGACAATATTGGTTTTAAGCGCGTCCCGGATGCGACGCGCCATCGTAGATATTGAAAATCTCTTCGGCGATACGAGAAAAATTACGACGGCAGAGATTAGATTTTCTTTCGCGACGATGCATTCTGGATGATATGTCTTTTAACAATTTTCCATTCTCGACGCTGAAGCGTCTTAAATTTACCACCTGCAGTACTCTTTCTCATAATGTACTTTGCGCGCTATCTCGTTTGTTCCGTAAACACATTTATTCAAAACGTGTCACCGCATCCTGCGTGTGCGTACTACCGCGCGAAATTTTTTCGTGCGTGCTCAAAGAAATTATGTTGGCTAATTAAATATGGCGCAACGAAGCGTCTCGATGTTCGCAAGACGTTCACTTTTACTGCGATCAAATAAAACTGTAATAATTTTGGAAATAAATCGCATTTAAAATATTGACTTTAGTATTTTGTAATAACAATTTCATCGCATCAAACGATAAAATCACTATTTCGAATAGGTCAGCGACACTCGCTCTTATCATAATCTAGATTATAGACCAGGAAATGCGCTATCGCTTCCTTTATTTGTACGATCGTCGATAACGAAAGTGCGAGCAAATAAATGCAGCTTGAGATTTTCAGTTTATCCTCATTCAAAGAATATTATTATTTGAATGGTTTCATTGCGGCTAAAAAATTACACTATCAATTTGATTTTTTCGAGATATCCTTTTATATTTTTCGCCTCAGTACAGTTATTTACTGGTATTCGAGACGATCATCGCGAGCTGCTTTAATAGGTCAGATAATTATAAAATCTTTCACGCTCGTGTCCCGCGTGCGTTCGCAATTCATAAGGTCCCTTCCGGTCATGAGAGTCCCCATTCAAGGGAGAATACCGCTGCTAGACTACGTAAACGGAATCACAACCGAAAAAAGACGGTGATCAAAGAGTGACATTAAAGTAGAGATCGACGGATTCGATTTCTGACATGTACCGATTTGTTTTAATTATCAGATAACATCATTGTTATGGCAACGCCTCAAATGGACGCGTCGACTATAACTTTCAAGCTCGGAAAGCGTAAAGATGCGGCATTATTTATTAATATAAAAATGCAGATTCCACTCAACGGTAGTTCAAAATCAAACCGAAGGCAGGTAGGTGAGTTCGATGCGTACTTTCTAAACGCCCTGTATACGAACGACTTCTCGATGGTAGGGGGACCACCGGTCTCGCTCTCTCTCGCGCGCGCTGGCCCCATCCGTGTGCCCGAGAGACGTACAATGGCTGCCATGAGTCGACGTGCTGCGCGCCTTAAGTATCAACCGTCCTCAATTTTCCCGTCTTAATTTGCCGGCTAGGAAACGCCCACGAAAAAAAAATAGCATGCACGATGCCGCGCCGTGGCGGTGCCATTCGACGCGAGTCCGCGCGACGGCGAGTGCCGATGAATGACGCTCCGCGTCATCCCGACGATCCATCGTCGTGTACACCGTCGATTCCGCTCCGCGAAAACACAGTGACTGACAGCACGCGGCCGATCGGGTGTATTACGTCGTCGCGGCGTAATTGCTGAAACTTTTGCGAAGACTTCAACGCGAGGCGAACACGGTTCTTGCATTGTGTACCTGCACCTTGATCTTCAGTGCGCGTCGTGAGATATATTACACGTCGGATCAGCGCACGGTGTTGTTATGTGTTCTGTGTATACGCTCGCTGGTTTGAGGAAGGTAATCAAACGCTTCTGCAATACTTTTAATAATGTTAAGTCTAAAAAATTAAGAATCGAAATCTTGCGTCAAATGTATCTACGAAAGAGCTGTCATGTATTTTTTTGTATATCTATTTAAAAAATTTGCCGTATCTTTGAACAAAATTATTATATCGAAACTTAATGTGATATAAGTGTGTATTAATTACGGAAAATTTTCGAAGCATGACGAATAACTACGCGGGAACGTTCATTCAACCTCCTCCCACGTAGGTAATTCGCCCAATTTATTCGGATTAACACACTCCGGTGCTGATGATATCCTCATTACATTTTATTCTTTGCCGTTGAAGCTTTTAAGAGAGACGACAACTGTTAAAAGAAAATAAAACCTGTTTCTCGCAAGAAAAAAAAAGCGAAATCGAATTAATGCGTGCTATACGCTTCACCGCTATACTTTTCCTGGTGCAAACTAAATGTGAGATTCTTCTGATAGATAAATTACACTTACGTCGCTGCAAAAGAATGCAATCGCTATCTGATTCTGGAAGCTCAGATGTTGACGCGCGTATTTTTTGTGTGTTTGAAATTCTGTTATCAAAAGAACTACAATCTACTTCTCGCTTTAAAAAAATCAAGCTGAAACTTGTACGCGAAAAATTCGCATGGATATCGCGCTTAGAACGT